CTGGAAAAAAAAAAAAAAAAAAAGGCTACATTTGAATGTTTCTGTTCACAAATATATAATTTTGCCATTTCTAAAACTTTTTACAGAGCAAAAGTCATGAACAATGCAATTTTTCATGATGAACAATAACAATTTTTTTTTTTTTTTCCTGGTGCTTTACTGTGAATACAAATTATTTTTATCGATTCTATAAAGGAATTTGAATAAGTTTTATCTTCATAAAAAAAAAAATAATTTTTTCCCCTGCATAATATTATGAAGATGGATTTTTATACAAAATCATGCAAAAAAAAAAAATAAAAATCAGTAAGTACAAAAAAGAAAAATATTAAACACTAAAAAAAAAAAAAAAAAGATTCTTTCATTTGGTTATTTTAAAATTTTAAAAAAATGTTATGTCCCTTCAGGGTACAGGCGGTCATGGCTCTCCACAGATTCCTTTTCTCTATTATCTATGAATTTTCATGTTTTCTGGAGAAAGATAGTTTTCTTCTCCGGTTCTGAACTCAGTTTTCCTTCTCTTAGACTGGTTTCCACCCAGTCTGCTATGCTATTTAGCCCATAGCTGGGCAAGAAGAGATGGATTTATGTCTTTCCCAAAAGTATTAGTGCAAAAGTGAATGCAACAGACTAGCCCAGAATTTGAACTTGGTTTGCTGAGACAACTTTTGTGCTGATATTCATTACACTACCGACACAACATCCTAAATTATAATTAAAAAATTGAAAGAAATTTTACTAACCTGCTTACCAATAGATATATATATATATATATATATAAGTGAAAATATATAGAAAATAGGAACAAAAATTTCACTTGAAGATGGAACGGAGCCCATTTTACTTTCAACTCAATTTAATTTAAAGGATTATATTGAAGTTTTCGGCTCTTGTTTTGAAACATGAGACCTCTTATGTAGCGATTTGGAATCATATTTTTAAATAAATAATTATATATATATATATATATATATACATACATGTGTGTGTGTGTGTGTGTGTGTGTGTGTGTAAATACACAGCAAATTCTCTTTTCGGCACATCTGATTGAATAAATTACAAACATTATGTCCGCTAATTTTTAACAAAATCCATTCATACTCACGAGTAACCTTCCATGTATTGATGTTAAAAGACAAGAGAAATGTGCTATAACTGTTTAAATTTCTTTCATTTCCCAAGTACTTTCGATCTTCTTCCAAGATCATCTTCAGGGATGCAAGTAGTACCCCTGAAAAAAATATAGTTTTATACTACTTGCACCCCTGAAGATGATCTTAGAAGATCAAAAGTATTTGGGAAATGAAAATAAAAGAAATTTAAACAGTTATAGCACATTTCTCTCATCCTTTGAAGGAAGGTTATTCGTGAGTATGAATGGATTTTGTTAAAAATTAGCAGACATAATGTCTGTAATTTATTCAATCAGATATATATATATATATATATATATATATATATATATATATATATTCAATAAATCAATAAAGTTCCATGCAGCTCAAAATTCATAACACAAAAAATTCCAAGATAAAACTGTTAGCCTTCTATCTCATTGATTGATTTTTTTATGGCTTATCAACCCTTCATGGGTTATTTAAAGCTGAAATATGTTTTGGCTCATAAGAATAATTCTTTTAATTTTTCTTTGTGAGTGAATATTGTGCTAAATTTTTTTTTAATTTTTTTTTTTTGAATAACAATGATTTCTTTTACAGACACAAGTCTTACTCTTTAACACATAGCTGGAGAGAGTAAAAGGATTCATACCTTTTCCCAAAGGTATTTTCATGTACATGAATGTGATGAACCAGACTGGAATTTGAACTCGGCTTTTCAGTTTCTAATTCCGAATTGCTATTACACCACCTGCACATCCACTATATCGCAATGAAAGCTAATGAGAAGTGACAATGAAATAGTTGGTCAGTTACAAATATATGACAGTGCTAGAACATGTAAAGAGGAACCAGAAACCTCATCTTGTCAAATTCAGATATAATAGACTCTGAGGTCAATGAAAGTGTAAACATTCAATGCAAACGCCACCCAGCTTTCCACTGACTGGCCAATGAGTACCCCACATTGTGTTTCTGTCCTCAATCATATTAGTAATCACCAAAAGCTGGAAAAGGGCCTGCTGCATGTTTGCAAGGTAATGAAAACAAAGTACAAATGCCAAGTTGAATAATTGTAACACAAATCCTGTTTCCCATATTATAAAATTTTTATTGAGGGCTTCACTTGTTCATCTGAATGAGTAAGTAGGTGATACTTGGGACAACTTCAGCTATCCCGATCTCATAGATCAGCTCTTTCCACTATCATATCCTTGCCCATCTACAGATCCTGACATGTGGCTGGCAATATTAATGAATGGCATTAGAACTACACAAGAGGCACCTGGATTAATGTAAAGAGATCTAGAAGAGTTGCCTTCAAGACAACTTCCATTTTACAATTTGATAACACTGAAGCAGTTCGAAAAATTGTCCTGAAATAGCATAACCTTTCAACTTGTGACAAAGACCAGTATACCAAATCCTGTCAAATGCCTTCAGGATATTCAAGGCAAGAGCCTGAACTTAGCCATTCTTATCTAAAGCTTGATAGAGTCTTTCAGCAATAATCATTAATACATCAATTGACCAAGAGAAGTGAAAGTCGTATTGTTTATCTGAAAGAAGAGTCTGTGAGGTAAGATGCTTAACGAATTCAAAGTTGATTAGAGCCTCTAGTACTTTGCCAAAAAGAGGTAGAAGGCTAATAGAAGGATCAGTTGGTTAGCTTTAATTTCCAATTTATTTCTAAATGTTTATACAGTACAGCATTGTACTGAACAGTAAATGTAATAAACAACTTTGAAAATCAGCTGTAGAGAATGAGGAGAAAGGACAAGAAAAGGACAAGTTTCAGGAAGACAAAAACCAGAAGACCCACAGGCAAGAGGTGCAAGAAAAGAAACTATGAGAACTTATGGTAACATCTAGCTAGTTCAACATTAAAACAGTGAGACCTAGTTGCTAAGTTGAGTTACCAAGGCAGGAATGTTTCTCTATGGTGGTTAAATGAGAGCGGTTTCATTTTAGAGGCATTAAAATTTACACGGCATTTCCTGCCCCAATTAACCACTGATTGGAGGTCCTTTTCAAGAGCAGCAACCAGGTTAACTTTGTCAGCTCTGGCAGATTTGCTATTGAGACAGGAGTATAGGCAGTTAAAAATGGGCAGAAAATAAACCAAGACTTGTGATAAGAAGAATATAAAGAAAGAAAAATAATGAAAGGTAATAATGATCATGGGTATAGTTAAACAGTTTATCTTTTTGATAAGTGTAATAAGATTAAAGTGTAGCATCAATGACCACAATGAGCAAAGTGAGGCATCACTGGCCACCATGAGCAAAGTCAGGCATCACTGGCCACCATGAGCAAAGTCAGGCATCACTGGCCACCATGAGAAGAGTGAGGCATCACTGGCCACCATGAGCAAAGTGAGGCATCACTGGCCACCATGAGCAAAGTGAGGCATCACTGGCCACCATGAGAAGAGTGAGGCATCACTGGCCACCATGAGCAAAGTCAGGCATCACTGGCCACCACGAGCAAAGTCAGGCATCACTGGCCACCATGAGAAGAGTGTGGCATCACTGGCCACCATGAGCAAAGTCAGGCATCACTGGCCACCATGAGAAGAGTGTGGCATCACTGGCCACCATGAGAAGAGTGTGGCATCACTGGCCACCATGAGAAGAGTGTGGCATCACTGGCCACCATGAGCAAAGTCAGGCATCACTGGCCACCATGAGAAGAGTGTGGCATCACTGGCCACCACGAGCAAAGTCAGGCATCACTGGCCACCATGAGAAGAGTGAGGCATCACTGGCCACCATGAGCAAAGTCAGGCATCACTGGCCACCATGAGAAGAGTGTGGCATCACTGGCCACCATGAGAAGAGTGTGGCATCACTGGCCACCATGAGCAAAGTCAGGCATCACTGGCCACCATGAGCAAAGTCAGGCATCACTGGCCACTATGAGAAAAGTCAGGCATCACTGGCCACCATGAGCAAAGTGAGGCATCACTGGCCACCATGAGCAAAGTCACTCATCACTGCCCACCATGAGAAGAGTGAGGCATCTAATAGTAATTCATGCAGTCATGGCACGAAGGCTTAAAGCTCATCAGAACAATTGTCATGAAAATATTTGTAACAAAGACAGTGGGCAGCCATGTCACATCAGTGAGAGAGTGACTGAAGTTGATTTACCAAGTCAGGATCGATTACATTACAGAACCTTCTTTGGATTCAGTCTAGTACCTTGAGATACATAGTACTAGACCAGATACAACAGCCACATTCAAAGCACGGACGAATGGTAGATTTTTTTTTGTACAAGATAGATTCTGACGTATGGTTTGCTTGCTGTAAATACAGTACAGTTAATTTTTTTTTTATTTATTTCTCACTTTATTTATTAGTTTTATTTTGATTCATTGTGAAAGAAAAAAAAAATCGCAGTCAAATTTTTGACAGAACATACAATACTAATCTTATATCTGGTAATAAATTTGGAGGTGGGGGGGGTCATTAAACGGGTAAGTTCGTAAGTGAGATGTGGCTGTATGAAGAATAACAAAGGAAAAGCTATTCAAAAAAAAAAAAAAATCCTTTTCATATTCAGGATTTTCAGTGCTATCCCTAATTTAGAGCTGAACAAAGGTGTCATTAAAGTGCAGAAGAACAGGCAATAAAACGAAATAATTTCCCGACTGGAGCCAACTGACAGACACAATCTAAACAATCAGGCAGGAGATGCATCATTGATGACATGAAATTCCCATGAATAATCTTAAAACGGTTCTAACAAACCAGTAAGGAAAAACGAAAAAACAATATTCAAAGTACCTTTCAAACATCATCTCTTGGGTGCAATAATTTTTTGGTCCTTATACTGTTGTCTGCTCTATAGTCATAATAATAAAAATAAACATACACA